GTAGTAGTAGTAGTAGTAGTAGTAGTAGTAGTAGTAGTAGTAGTAGTAGTAGTAGTAGTAGTAGTAGTAGTAGTAGTAGTAGTAGTTGTTGTTGTTGTTGTAATTGTAGTAGTAGTAGTAGTAGTAGTAGGAGGAGGAGGAGGAGGAGGAAGAGGAGGAGATCGTACCGAGACGGGCAGAACGGGCCCCAACAGAGCTCCAAGGCGGCCCACGAGGGGCACAAGACGGCTCAAGAGGGCATCGGAACACTCCCAGGGGGCCTCCCACTGGACTCCAGAGGGCCGAGGAAGGCTCCAAGAGACCCAATCCATGCCTAGATGCTTTGCCCCAGCATCAGGGGGAGATCTCTGTCCAGCCCTCCTGGCAGGGAAGTCCCCCAGCTTCGCGGCAAGGGAACCCCCCTTACTCCGTGCTGGCGACGTGCCTCGGGAGCTGGGGACCGAACGAGTACGTGGCCCAGCCGCAGTTGGGCGGGAGGGCGGGTAAAACAAGAACAAGCACAGTGTGGTGCGGGACTCGCAGTTGGGCGGGTGGAAAGGTAAAAATATGCAAGCAGTGTTTGGGGGATGCCAAGCACATCAGCAGCGCGGGGACGTGACATCCCGAGCCCGACACAACCCCCGAGAACCAGCTGGGATGCACGGGAGTGGGCCGCTTGCGCAAAGAGTAGGCTCGGTGCCCAATGAAGCGTGCGGCGCGGACAGCGGTTGGGATGCCGGCCGTCTCTCTCTCTCACACTCTCTCTCTCTCTCTCTCTTTCCCACCTCTCTCTATCCTGCGCAGACCTCCCCCACACGCACATGCCCAGCCACCCCTGTGCTGCTCCCAAGGCAAGGCAAAGGAGATGAGGTCAGCCACGGATGTCGTGCACCGCGCAGCCCGCACTCGCGGACCACCAGGCCAAGGCACATGCGCTTCTGTAGAACCAGCTGGCGCAATCAGGCGTCAGATCGACACTCATCCGAAAGGCTCTGCCCTCCTCCTAAGTAGGTCAATCGGGTCCCATACTGGCCCAAGACAGCTCCAAGAGATCCACAGGGCGGCAAGGAGGGGCCCAAGATAGACCATTAGGGCCCAAACAGGGCCCCAAGATGCCACAGCAGCCCCCCCAGACGGCCGCAGATAAGCCCCAAGAGGCCCCCAAGACTGCCCAGGAGCGGACGGAACGCTTGTCCAGCCGTGCCCCCCGCGAAGCAGTGTTTACCGAATCGGGTCGGCTGCGCGCGGTGCTCAATCGCGCCATGCAAGCATCGGGCCACATCGGATCATTGGAACATCAGAACCCCATCGGATCGAGCGGGCCCGAATCGACATCGATCGGATCGATCGGATCGAAATGGACCCTAGAGTGAAAGGGGAAGAGGGGAACAGACAACGCGACAATCGCGACGGGCGATTCTGCCCTTTTTCGGGCCCAAGTACCCCCACAGATCGAAACGGCCTGAAAACCACGCGCAGAGGATTGGATCCGTGGCTCTGGTCGTGGTTGTTTCACGGTGTTGTGCTTTCTACACGACGTCGGATGTCGGGGTACCCCCGAGGCAAGCTGCTTACATAAGGCTCACAGGCCCATCCACCGGGCATTTGCCAGTCGACTCTACGTGATGACTGTTCTAACTCGCACGCGCTTCGCGACAGCGCACCAAAAAAAGCAACTCGGCAAGCGTCAGCAACACCGCAACGCAGCACGACACGTACAACCTTGAGCCGAAACGAATCGATAATGCAGACCTCAATATTGACCTGTATGATGGTGAACGGTTGCTTCCAGCGACAGCTTTGCACTTTTCCTTCTGAGTGCGCTTCCGCGTGCCTAGTGCGAGCTTCATGATTTCAGCGTCGAGGACCCATTCGCCATGATGTCAGCGATGGTGGCCCAGTGGTTGTAATACTCGCACGACTGCTCGATGCCCTGCGCCGAATCCCCACACGTCATTCCTGGCTCGGCAATTGAAACGACCTCTGGGGGGAACGATGGATCGGCCGCGTAGTCTAAAATCTCCACCCAATTGTTCAACTCGTCCAGGCGGTCGAGCATGCGCTCACACGGCTCCATGGACGCTGGAATCGCAGGGCTGCTGAACTCGTCGTGCAACCAGCGCTCGACCGCTGAAACACCAGCGTTCGGGCGCTGCACCCACGCGTCGTCGGCCCAGTCGTCATCTGCCGTATTTTCCCACCAGTTCCCTTTGCTCCTGGGATCCACTAGCTCGAGGTTCTTTGGCGCCGCGGCTAGGCCCGGGCATCCATCCTGCTTGCGAACCTCTGGGGGGCACAAAGATACTGACACCGCTGCTCCCCAGACCTCTCTGGGGGTGCGTTTTGACCAGGATCACGAGGCGACATCTGTCGTGGCGGCGAGTACCTCCAAAGAGGCCCAGCAAGGCGAAAACGAGGCGAGGGAATCGGTGCCAGCATGTTCTCCTGCTCTGAGGGCCCAGTCAAAATCCTTCTCCTCCGCGACGGCCCACTGCCTGAGGCTGGTGCACCAGTACAGGAAATCCGAAGACCCTCGGGCACCAGCGTGCGAGACGTCTGCCCTTCTTCCCCCACACGTCTTCCAAGGGGTGTCTCCGGGGCCCCAAAACCATGTGATGACGGCCCGCGTGGTGACCTCGGAATCCCCAACGACCTCCCCGCGCGGCCTGTCACCCCACGGCTTCGGTGCCTCGGAGGCCCCGGTCGCCTGAGACGTCCTCGAAGAACGACCCGAGTCCCAAAACCATGCGGTGGCTCCGAAGCACCACCGACGCACCACGCTTTGCCGTCGGGTCAGCACACCGATGGAAGGCCCCTGAAGATCGATCTTGCCAATCTCGCGGCGGGGGGCGTGGATCTGGAGGCGGCGCGGGATGGGGATGGCCCTGAGCTTCCAAAGCGCCCCAACAGGGCTCCAGGACGTCGCCAAGACAGCTCAAGAGGCGCCCAAACAACGCGAGCGGCCCAATGAGCTCCACCAAAATCCTGAGACGCACAAGATGTGCCCCAATAGAGGGCCCCAGAAGCCGCAAAGAAGCCCCACACAGCCCAAACTATGAAACAACTGAACATGTTTCAATGTGTTGTGGTCTCCGGACCAAAATGGTCTCATGAGCGCTCAAGACGGCCCAAAGACGGCCCAAGACAGCCCAACAGCATCCCAAGAGGGCCCAAACACTGCCCAAAAGATCATCTGGAGGAGCCCAAGAAGTCGCTAGACGGCCCAAGACGGCCTCCAGAGAGCGCGAAGACGGCCCAGAAGGGCTCCAAGACGTCCAAAAACTGCGTAAGAAAGCCCCGAGAGATCCTCAGGACGACCCTGAAGGGCCCCGAGAGAGACCACAGAAAGCCCAAGGCTTCAGCAAAAAGCTCCGAAGGCGCCTAATAATCATCGCATCATTTGCTTCCCTCTCCCTCGCCTTTCCATGTACATATATATATATGTATATACACACACACGTTGTCATTGCCTCCTTCTCAGCCTCTTCCTCCCCCTCATCCTCGTCGTCATCGAAGTCGTCGTCGTCGTCGTCCTCCCCCTCCTCCTCCACCTCTTCCTCCGTTTACTCCGTCCATGCTCTGTTCTATTTTCTCGACCAATGCCTGCAGGGTCCAATCTGAAAATATCTAGGAGTCGGCGGATGTCGCGTCAGCCTGCTGAATAAGCAGCATCCTTGGTAGGTCCAGTGGTCCAGAATGTCGCCAAATTGCCGACCCACCACTTCTCTTCGCGGACCTCCGTGAACCGCTGATTGAGGTCAGGCCGCGTAAAGCCGTCGAGGACGATAGTGTCTGGCCACCTGCTGTGGCCCACGTCTTTGAAAGTGACAGTCTCGGATGCGTACGTGTTCAACACGATTTCGCGCAGCCATGGCCCCAACGGGAACTCCGCGAAGAAGTCTACTGTATAGGTGCCCGGACCGCCCGGCAAATCAACGCGGACGTTCGGCTGGTTGGCCCACTCTTGCAGCGCAGACCGGGAGCTTGATACTGACACATTGCCAGTGGTCACCCGCAGAAAGATCCTGGGATCGACGTCGCCGCATCCTGCTCTCTCCATCACCCGACTGCTCGGCCACTCCAACTGCACCGAGAAAGGCTCGCTGGACGCCACATCGAACTCCACCACCTTGGAGATCCGCTGCTCCTGCTTGGCGAACCGCCTTGCCGACACCGAATACCCGTCGCGCACTCTCGCGACGGTTGTTGCGCCGAAGGCAGATCCGCCTCCGCGGCGCTCCCGCAGCGGCGAGCATGCTGATGCTTGCGATGGGGGAAACCAGCTGCCCCCCCCACACACACACACACACACACACACACACACACACACACACACACACACACACACACACACACACACACACACACACACACACACACACACACACACACACACACACACACACACACACACACACACACACACACACACACGAAACGCACACCAAAGGGCCTGGGTCTGGAGGCGGCTGGGGGGTCTGAACTGGATGAGCCCTGAGAACAAATCTGTCAAGAGGAGGGATAAGGCAAATCTGGTCAAAATCGGACCACCTTCCGGGGTCCACCTGGTATAGTTTTTAATTCAAGAGCCGTTTTTGACGGTTCTGGGACCCCGAATCCGGCCCCCAGAGGGCGAAAAGGCGAAACGCTTCCTCGAACCCAGAGCCTCGAATCTCTTCCCCCGTTCCTGCTGGCCGGAACCAGTGCTGGGCCATCTCGGACCCCCAGCCAGCTCCAAACGTAGCGTGCACCAAAGGGCCTCGGTAGGCTATACAGGCCACAAAGATGGTGCCCAGGAGCGCCCAAGAGGCCTTCAGAATGGCCCCCTGACGGCCCAGGAGGCCCCAAGACGGCCCCAGGACGGACAAGAGACCTCCAAGATGGCCTCGCAGACCGCCCTGATGCGCCCCCCAAGAGGGCCCCAAGTCGGCCCAGAGAGGCTCTGCGGGTGACCCATGGCCAGCCCCAGGGCTCGCGCCGATCTGCGCGCGCCAGCTGAGGTCATCGCGTTGAGGTGCAGGGCGCACGCCGATCTGCGCGCGCCAACGGTGTACGTTTCGCGCGTCGGGGTCCGCCCGCGAGGCGACGAGACGGCACGCCCCCCGCCCACCCACGAAACGGGCACCGGAAGACACCCACCTTGAGAGCACCACGCCCCGACGTCTCGAGGTCTCGACGTCTCGACGCCGTCGCGCCCCTGTGGGCGGCCTAGAACCAGCCCCGAGCCCCTCTCTCCAACCCACGGAGGGCGCTTGCTAATCTGAGAAGGCGTCGGATGAGGTGGGGTGGTGTTGGGGGTCGGAGTAGATGGGGCCGGAGGATCGCGCCGCATCGCCGGCACATCGGCGATGCATCAGCGATGTATCGGCGATGCACCGACGATGCATCGCCGACGTCGGCGATGCATTGGCGACGTCGACGTGAAGCAAATCAGGCCCCACATCGAGCCGCATCGGCGATGCGGCGCGATCCTCCGACCCCATCTACTTCGACCCAATCTAAGAGGCCTAGGCTTGGAAACCCACTCATCCTCATGCTGCGGTTTGACTGCATTCAGAAGGCATCCAAAAAGCCCAGAACCACGAAGTACATCAAGGCTTTCGGTCCTTCAGCTTTGCCACCCTGGAGGGCACTTGACCTCCTGCGTGCCTTTGGAAGGAGCCCGGGCTGCCTAGAGACGGCCCCAAGACAGACCAAGACCGGCCCAGGACGGCCCCAAGGCGGCCCTGAGGCCTTCCCCGCCTTTCGGTCTTACGAGCACAGCATCCAAGAGTGCCCAGGTGCCCCAAAGCTCGTTCTAAGATTGCGCCCGAGAGGCTCCCAAGAGGCCTCTAAGTCTGCCCCGTCCCAAGAGGGCCGAAGATGGACCCAAGAAACCCCCCAAGAGGACGCAAGAGGCTCCCAAGAGGCTTCAATAGGCCCCAGAGAGACCCCGAAGAGAATCCCAAGAGGCACAAATCCTAGGAAGCCGCGGTGCTCCCAGCAATCTTCCCCATGCGCCTCGCACCAACAACCCAGGCACAGTGGCGGGAAGGGCCGAAGACCAGTCCCTCGCTGGCTTGCCACAAGGATGCACGGCGAACCAAACTTAGGTATTCGTTGATCCTTTCGAGAGGTTCCCAAAGGGCCTTCGGCAGATCCCGCCAGCCACCCGGAAAGACCCACAACGCCGCCGAAAATACATGTTCCATTGTCCAAATCGCCTCCAAGACGGCGAAGATGATATCCAACATGCCTCCAGGACGGCCACGATGGCCCCAAGAGCGCCCCAGATGGCCGCAAGATGTTTCCCAAATGGACCAAGATGCACCCAAGACGTCCTCAGATCGCCTCAAGACGGCCTAAGACGGTCCCAGAAGCCTGCAAGAGGCCCCAAAGCGGCCCAAGAGCCTCCAAGAGGTCCACCAGAAGGCCCGAAGAAGCCAACATCATGGATTTCACTTAGGAGTTTGAAGGATTGTAGCTTTTGCTCCTTTTCAGCTTCCGACGGCACAAGACGGCTCAAGAGGTCACCAAGATCGCCCAGGAGGCCTCCGACATGGTACCATGACGGCCCCAGAGGCTCCCACAACGGCCCCAAGAGGGCCCAAAGATGGCCCATGAGGCCTCCAAAGACGGTTTTCCGACGGCATCAGACGGGCCAGGAACACCCAAAAACGGCCAACGAGGCACCCAAAACACGTCCAAGGGCCCTCAAGAGGCCCAAGAAAGCCCCCGAAAGGCCTCCACAAGACTCGCAGAAGCTCCCAAGAGGCCTTAATCGAATTTCTTTACCTATACGACCACCCTTCGAGTGATAAGGAGGTTGTGAGGGGCGGCGGAGGGAACCATCGGGACGAGCACCTGAAGACACTGTGGAGGCGAATCGGGCAACCATCGGGACACCATTTGGACACCGCCATAAACATCTGCTTATCGATCTCACTATTGATCTCACCATCGGTCATCCTATCAACCTGTCAGTCTCACCATCAATTTGTCTCACCATCCATCTCACAATCGATTCCACCATCTAACGATATCATTATCGATCGATCTCAATTTCAGTGTCTATGCATATATATATATATAATATATATATATATATATATATATATATATTATATATACCAATCTCACGGGACAACCGTCGGGACAACCATCGGAGCACCATCGGGACACCATCGGGACAACGTCTGGAAACCATCGGAACACCACGGGCACCAGGGGGACACCGTTGGGACACCATCGGGGCACGATCGGGACACCAACGGGACACCATCGGAACACTATCGGGACACCATCGAGACACCATCGGGACACCATCTGGACACCATGTGGACACCATGTGGACTCCATGCGGGCATCATCTGGACCCCATCGGGACACCATCTGGACACTATGTGGACATCATCGGGACACCACGTGGACACCATCGGGACACCATCTGGACACCGTCGAGAAACCATCGGGGCACCATCGGGAAACCCCCGGGCCACCGCTAGCCAACCGGGCGGAGAATCATGTGGTCCAGGTTTCGGCCTAAGAACGGCGAATTCATTCCGCTCGCCCGCCCATGCAGCTTCGCCTCGCCCGCACGCCTGAAACGAACACGAAACCGAAACAGATTTCCTGGTTGGGGGGTCTCCAGCTCACTTCGATCTCACCCCCAACCTCCGAAGAATAACTCCTCCCTGTCGCGCCCCCAGACGTTTCAGGCCAGGCGTTTCGCCTGAGACCTCCGATGTTTGCAACATTTTCACGGATGGAGGGCGGGTCGTTTACAAAACGTGGCCACCACCTTGCCGCCGCGCGCACTCGTCGCAAAAGGTTGCAGCAGTTGCGTGGACGGAGGGCGGGTGGTGTTCGAAAAGTGGCTCTCGCTTCAACGCCACGCACATCATTCGTACACATTCGTCTAAAAAGTCAGCAGTGTTGATCGATGGAGGGCAGTTCTTGCCCGACATGTGGCTCTGGCCATGGCGCCGTGCACATTCGTCTGGAAAGTCTGCAACACTATAAAGAATGGCGGGCGGCTTCTTTTCAGAATGTGTCTCTCGCCCTAGCACCACGCACACTCGCATTAAAAGGTTGTAACAATTTAACGGATTCGTATGCTCGAAATCCCAGGAACGGCATTCCGGTACGACTCAGGGTTGTCCGGGCGCAGAAATACGCTAATCCGCTGTATAGAAAATCCCAGGAACGGCACTCCGGCACGATTTACGATTGTCAAGACGCAACAATCATGTTGAGCCATGGCATTGAAATGCCAAGCACGGTGTGTTGGCGCGATTGAAAATGTTCAAGCGGTTGTCTTCTAATGACCAACTTCCCGCAATGAAAATCCATTCTTCTGCGGACCTATGAAGATGGAACTTGGAGGGATGGCTTGTTGCAAGATCGTTGACGTGTCTTGGGTTTACACTGGTCCCTCCTCCTCCTCCTCCTCCTCTTCCTCCTCCTCCTCCTCCTCCTCCCCCTCCCTCTCCTGATGCTCTCCCTCATACTCCCCCGAATATGTTCCGAGGGGGTTCCACTACGGCTCGGGGAACACATCGTCCGATGGCTTGCCCAAGCTTTGGCCAAAACGTTCGGTCACATCGGCGTTTCCAACAGACAGGTGGCGGCGGTACATCGCCGTGGGCGTCTTCGACACGCCGCCCTAATGTGGCTTGCCACAGGGATGCACGGCGTGCCAAACGCTCTTGGTATTCTTACAATTTTCCAGTGGGCCTTCGGTTGATTGCGCTGGCCCTAGCTTTTCAGGTCGTCAGTCTTCCCACTCCAGACGGCCCCAAGATGGTCTCCAAGACTGCCGAGATGGTCTTCAAGACGGCTACCATGGCCCCAAGAGAGCCCAGTATGGCCCCAGATGTCTCCAAGAGGGTCCGAGATGCCCCCAATATGGCCTCAGGTGGCCTCAAGATCGTCCAAAACTGGCCCGAAGAGGCCCAACGCATGAATTTCCCTAGTGTGTTTGGAAGATTTCGGCGTCTGCTTATTGTCGAGTTTCCGACGGCCCAAGACGGCCCCAGAGGCCACCCATATGGCCCCAAGAGCGCCACATAGGCCTCCGAGATGACACCCTGACGGCTCAAGCGGCCCCCAAGACGGTTCCAAAAGGGCACCAAGACGGCACTGAAGACCGCCAAGACGCCCAAGATGGTCTCCAAGACGGCCCTGGAGCGCCCCAAGAGGGCCCCAAATCAAAGTCGGCCCAGAGAGGAGCCCAAGCTGGCGGCGTCAGGCGGGCTAGGAACGCCCTCGGACAGAAGTTTGCCTGATGATTGACCAAACCGCTTGATGAGAGACAACCGCCTTTGCAACACTGAATACAGTATTATCGAAGCAACGCAACAAAGTACAAGCAAGTGGATGGAATATGGAGAATGTGACAGCGAATACAACTTGTCGAAACACTGTAGCAAGGGCACCAGCATCTTTGAATTCTGTGCCCACCCCCACGGGCCGAGTGCACCCATTGTGGTGGGGTGTCTCTTGCCCGGGGACGCGCCTGCCTTAAGGCCTGCAGGCGCCCGTGGTCCGTTCCGTCTCCAGCGTGACGCGGGGCAGGCCGACGTTGACACGAACGACACCTTTGTTTCCGACGTAGGGAAACACCACGTGTAAAGCGCTCTGTGAGCTTCCTCTTGACACTGTGTCTGGCTTCAAGCACGGTAGCTGTATTTGCCAAAAGATGTCGAGCCAGGCTACTAAACCCTGACTATCTGGCCTTCACAAAAGGGAGGAAACGACTGCCCCCTCTTTCGTGACATCGTCGGCACCTGGCGGCTTGGCCGCAGGTGCCCCCTTTTTCCTTGAATGTCCGACCCCCCGCCCCCGTGACCAGAGCACTGACTGGAGCACAGGACGGCGGAGCCGACTTCGTATCCCGGCTCTCGGGCACCACAATCAGAGCGCACGTGCGAAGCCCCCTCTTTGGTAAAGCGACCACTGCTACTACTCCGGCTGATGGGACAAATGCTGCACCGCCGAAGACGAGCTCTTGGAGAGACTTTCGGCTGATAACCAGAAGTTTGCCTGATGATTGACCAAATCGCTTGATGAGAGACAACCGCCTTTGCAACACTGAATACGGTATTATCGAAACAACGCAACAAAGTACAAGCAAGTGGATGGAATATGGAGAATGTGACAGCGAATACCACTTGTCGAAACACTGTAACAAGGGCACCAGCATCTTTGAATTCTGTGCCCACCCCCACGGGCCGAGTGCACCCATTATGGTGGGGTGTCTCTTGCCCGGGGACGCGCCTGCCTTAAGGGCTGCAGGCGCCCGTGGTCCGTTCCGTCTCCAGCGTGACGCGGGGCAGGCCGACGTTGACACGAACGACACCTTTGTTTCCGACGTAGGGGAAACACCACGTGTAAAGCGCTCTGTGAGCTTCCTCTTGACACTGTGTCTGGCTTCAAGCACGGTAGCTGTATTTGCCAGAAGATGTCGAGCCAGGCTACTAAACCCTGACTATCTGGCCTTCACAGAAGGGAGGAAACGACTCGGACGGCCAAACAGCCTCCCCCTCCCAGGAGCCTGCACAGGCCCCCAAGAGGCTTCAGGCAGCTCCCCAAGAGATCTCCAAGAAGCCCCCAGGAAGCTTCCAGGAGGCTCCTAAAGTGGCCCAAGAGGCCTCCTCCTCCTCCTCCTCCTCCTCCTCCTCCTCCTCTTCCTCCTTTTTTTCCTTTCTCTCCTCCTCCTCCTCCTCCTCCTCCTCCTCCTCCTCCTGCTCCTCCTCCTCGTCCTCCTCTTCGTCTTTCTCCCCCACGTGTCCCCCGAAGGGTTTCAAAAACGGCTGGAGGAACACGTAGTCCGATAACTTGGCCGAACTCTGGCCACAACGTTCGGCCACACAGGCTCTCCCAAAAGGCAGGGGGCGGCGGCAACTCGCTTTAGGCGTCTTCGATCCGCCGTACCCAGTTGCTTGCCACAGGAGTCCACGCCGTGCTGGGAGTTAGCTGACCTTCTGGGCCGTTCCAGAAGATTCCCTGCGGGACCTCGGCCGGTCCGGCCGGCCACGCAGAAAGTACTTCTCCCACGGGATTTCTCCCCCGAGATGGCTCCAAGATGTCCTCTAAAACGGCATCCAAGACGCCCAGGATGGCCTCCAAGACGGCCAATGTATCTCAAGACGGCCCCAAGAGGCCTCCAAGACGGCCCAAGAGACCTCCAGGACGGCCCGAAAGCGCCCAAAGAGAGCGCCCCAAGACGGCCAAGAGAGGCACCTAAGACGGCTTCCGAAGGCGGCAGATGGGCCAAGAGAGCCCCAAGACGGCCCAAGAGGCCCCCACAAGAGGCTCCAAGAGGCCTCCAAGAGGCCCCATGACGCCCCCTGCAAAGCCCCCAAAGGGCCCCAACAGGCCAGGCCAGGCCTCCTCCCCCCCCCCTCCCCCTCCCCTCCCCCTCCCCCTCCCCCTCCCCCTCCCCCTCCTCCTCCTCTCCCCTCCTCTCCTCCTCCTCCTCCCTCTCCTCCTCCTCCTCCTCCTCCTCCTCCCTTCCTCCCCCAAGTGTTTCCCCCGAGGGTTTTCGCAGCGGCTAGGAGTTTACATTAGCTTGGCCAAACTGTGACCCAACGTTTGGCCACATAGGCAGTTCGCAAATTTCGGTCAATCCAAGGCACCGCAAGACAGCCACATAAGCCCCCGAGTGGCCGCCAGGCACCCCGCAAGACCCTACGACTCCCAACTGCTGCCCCCTAAGAGGCTCCCAGGTTGTCTCGAGGATGCCCCCGCCAAGTTATGCCGACAACCACATGCGACGCCACAGCGCTGCCACGTTGCAGCGCTGCTGCAAAACTTTCCAAATACTGTTGGCGAATTTGCGCGGCAGCACAACTGGATAGGAATTCGTCAAACAGCATGTAGAAGAAACCCTGACGGATCTTTGGGTTCAACCGCGCTGGCACCTTGCCCCTGTAATTGCTGAAGGCCCATGGGTTGAATAAGTGAACCACACGATGGCTGGTCCCGTCAATGTCCATCAGCGTGGCCCCAAGGACGGCATAGACATGACCACGGGCGATGTTGTTAGTGGTGTCGTCCCCTGTCCCGGCCACCAGGGGATGCCGTTTATGGACTGCGTCAGTGATTGCTGCCCAAAGGTCTTCCTTTGAAAACTCGAAGCCTTGACCTGCATGGGGCAAAATATCCACTGGAGCCTGCGTCAACGCTTTGATGGCCTCAACGGCGAATCCGCTTTCGATGCGCTTATAACTTCCGAAAATCTTCGCCCACGCCTTCTCCAAGATCATGGGCCAAATCTTCCGCTGGGGACCGTAAGAGGCGAAAGTAGGCCAACCGTCCCAGGCAGGAAACCATCCATCCACAGCGACGACAACTGGGCGGCCTGTCACAAGCCATCGCGTGACGTAAACGGGGTTGTGTCCTTCCCAAAGATCGTGCCTCTGGAAGATGCGACCGATGAGGTGAGGCTGGTAGTGTGCTATGGAACCCAAAGTGGCAAGGAAATCCGCCGACCTCCGCATGTCGGGGGTGACAAGGCGTGTGAGATGGTTGGCTATCCTCATCCCCATTTCCCTCCCCCCTCTTCGACCCAACATCCCGTTAGAGGGGGGGCACTCGGAATGGGTTTCTTGCACTTCGGCTGCAAACGAGGAAACCCAAGGTACCCTGACCCGAGCGGTTTCTTGACCGCTGGCGTACAGCGATTTGACATCAACAAGCCCAAGGCGATCGAAGATGCGAGCTTCGGGCCTTGCACGAACAGAAATGTGATGACTTCACCTCGGGGCGAAACACGTTGCGCCCCTGTGGGGCTTACGCCGCGAAGGTGATCCACCAGCGGGTGGGTCGCCCGAAAACTGGTCGAGAAAAACCTAAGTTGTTCCACTTGCATTCAGAGCCTCAGCATGAGCTAATGTATTTCCACACGCTTGCCATGTGAAGAGCGCGCCGCACAAGTAACTCACCAATAGTTGCGTCACCCGGAAGCTGGTGGAGATAAACCAAGCGTTTCACTTGCATTATGGGCCTCATTTCGTACGTCTCCCCCTTTGGAGCGCGCGCCGCGCAGGTGACCCACCAGCGGGTGGGTCACCCAACAACCGGTTAAGAAAAAGCAAACGTTTCACTTGCGTTCTGAGCCTCAACATGAGTTGGTACATTTCGACTCCGTACGTCTGCCCCTGTGGAGCGCGCGCCGCGCAGGTGACCCACCAGCGGTGATCTACCAGCGGGTGGGTCACCCGAAAGCTGGTTAAGAAAAAGCAAACGTCTCATGTGCACCCTGGGCCTCAGCATGAGTTTGTGCATCCCAATTCCATAGGGTTCTCTTGTGTAGAGGGCAGAAAATCCACCCCGATAATAACCACCCCGACACGCGAATCCGTTTAGTAAACGCAGGCGGGCGCGGTCATACAAGGCCGGGATGACCTACACTTTTTGCGGCTTCCTTCAAGAGAAGAACAAGAGAGAGACAGAGATAGACAGAAAAAAAAAAACGTTTCCCTGCGCGCCCCGCGATGACTGACCTTAGGCCTTGACCATAGGCCACAGGGTCGGATGTCTCTGGGGGGTTGTGCTTTTTCTGCCTGCGAGTTTTTTTGGCCGGGTCTTTTGGTGGGTCACACGCTTCGTGACGTCACAATGGCGGGGTGAAACGACGGTGACACGACGGTGGCTGGGGGGGGTGACGACCTTGGCTGGGGGTGAGACGACGGTGAGACGACGGTGGCTGCGTGGGACGACGACGGATTTGGGGGAATCTCATGCTTTCCTGTACTCAGAATTCGCTCTCGGAGTGTCGGCAGAAGCGAAAACCCATCGGGCCTGGAAATCAAGCCCGAAGGATCTTTGGGTTCTCATGCATTCCTGTGCTCGGATTCCACTTTCGGGGAATCGGCGGCAGCGACAATCCATCGGGCCTGAAAATTAAGCCCGACGGATTTGGGGGAATCTCATGCTTTCCTGCACTCAAAATACGCTCTCGGAGGGTGGGAAGCAGCGAAAACCCATCGGGCCTGGAAATCAAGCCCGAAGGATCTTTGGATTATCATGCATTCCTGTGCTCGGATTTCACTTTCGGGGAATCGGCGGCAGCGAAAATCCATCGGGCCTGAAAATTAAGCCCGACGGATTTGGGGGAATCTCATGCTTTCCTGTACTCAGAATTCGCTCTCGGAGGGTCGGCAGCAGCGAAAGCCCATCGGGCCTGGAAATCAAGCCCGAAGGATCTTTGGGTTCTCATGCGTTCCTGTGCTCGGATTTCGCTTTCGGGGAATCGGCGGCAGCGAAAATCCATCGGGCCTGAAAATCAAGCCCGACGGAACTGGGGGAATCTCACGCGTTCATATGCTCGAAATTCGTTTTTGGAGAATCGGCGGCAACGAAATTTCATCGGGCCTGGAAAAGCGAGCCCGGATGATCTGGAGGAATCTCCTGCTTTTTTGTTGTCGGAATTCGCTTTCGGAGAGTTGGCTGCAGAGCAAACCCACTGGGCCTGAAAATCAATCCCGAAAGATCTGGGGAAACCGCATGCTTTCCTGTGCGCTTTCGGAGGGTGAGACGACGGTAAGACGACGGCGGCTGGGTGGGGAGGGCGGGTGACCGGGGGGGTGAGACGACGGCGAGACGACGGTGGCTGGGGGGTGAGACGACGGCGGCTGGGGGGTGAACGCAGGTGAGACGGACGGTGGCTGGCGGTTGAGACGACGATGAGGCGAGGGCGGCTGATGGGTGAGACGACGGCGAGACGACGGCGGCGGGGGGGTGAGACGACAATGGCTGGGGGGTGAGAAGACGGTGAGAAGACGGTGGCTGGGGGGCGAGACAGCAGTGGATGGGGGGTCAGACCTCGGTGGGACAACGGCGGTTGGGGGGACGGCGAAGCGACGGTGGCTGCGGGGGCGAGGTCGACAACGGCGAGATGACCACCACGCACGACCACGTACCACCACCACGTGCCACAACGCACCACCACGCACCACCACCACGCACCGCCACGCACCACCACGCATGACCACCACGCACCACCACGTACCATCACGCATGGCCACCACGCATAGCCACCACGCACCACCACGCATGACAACCACGCACCACCACGCACCACCACCACGTACCACCACGCACCGCCACGTACCACCACGCTTGACCACCACGTATGACCACCACGTACCACCACGCACCGCCACCACGTGCCACCACGCACCATCACGCACCACCACGTATGACCACCACGTACCACCACGCATGACCACCACGCACCACGACGCACCACCACGCATGACCACCACGTACCACCACGCACCGCCACCACGCACCACCAAGCACCACCACGCATGACAACCACGCACCACCACGCATGACAACCACGCACCACCACTGAGCACCACGCACCACCACGTATGACCACCACGTGCCACCACGCATGACCACCATGTACCACCACGTATCACCACGTATGACCACCACGCATCCCCACGCACCACCACCACGCACCACCACGTACCACCACGCACCACCACGTATGACCACCACGCATGACCACCACGTATGACCACCACGTACCACCACCACGTGCCACCACGCACCACCACTCATGACCACCGCGCATGACCACTACGCACCACCACGCATGACCACCACGCACCACCACGTACCACCACGCATGGCAACCGCGTGCCACCACGCACCACCACGCACCACCACCACGCACCACCACGTACCACCACGCACCACCACGCACCACCACCACGTACAACCATCACGCGCCCCCACGTGCCACCACGCACCCCACCACGCACCACCACGCACCACCACGCATGACGACCACGCACCACCACGCACCACCACGCATGACCACCACGTGCCACCACGCATGACGACCACGCACCACCACGCACCACCACCACGCACCACCACGCACCACCACGCATGACCACCACGTACCACCACGCGTGACCACCACGCACCACCACGCGTGACCACCACGTATGACCACCACGCACCACCACGGATGACAACCACGTACCACCATGCACCACCACGCATGACCACCACGTACCACCAAATACCACCACGCATGACAACCACGCACCACCACGCACCACCACGTACCACCACCACGCACCACCAAGTACCACCACACACCACCACGTCTGGCCACCACGTATGGCCACGACGTACCACCACCACGTGACACCACGTATGACCACCATACCACCACGTATGACCACCACGTACCACTACGTATGACCACCACATACCACCACCACGTGCCACCACGCACCACCACGTACCACCACGCACCACCACGTATGACAACCACGCACCACCACGCATGACCACCACGTACCACTACGCACTACCACCACGTACCACCACGTACCACCACGTATGACCACCACGCGCCACCACGCACCACCACCACGCACCACCACCACGCACCACCACCACGTATCACCACGTATGACCACCACGCACCGCCAGGCACAACCACGCATGACCACCACGCACCACCACGCACCACCACCACGCACCACAACGCACCACCACCACGCACAACCACGTATGACCACCACGTGCCACCACGTACCACCACGCACCCCACCACGCAACCCACCACGGACCACCAAGTAAGACCACCACGCATGACCACCACGTACCACCACGCATGACCACCACGCACCACCACGCATGACCACCACGCACCACCACGCACCACCACGTACCACCACCACCACGCACCACCACGTACCACCACGCATGGCCCCCACGTATGACCACCACGTACCACCACCACGCACCACCAGCACACACCCCCACCACGCACCACCACGCACAACCACGCACCACCACGTACAACCACGTATGACCACCACGCACGACCACGCACCACCACGCACGACCACAACGTACAACCACGCACAACCACGTATGGCCACCACGCACCACCACGCACCACCACGCATGACCACAACGTACAACCACGTACCACACGTATGACCACCACGTACCACCACGCACCACCACGTACCACCACCACGTACCACCACGTACCGCCACGCATGGCCACCACGCACCACCACGTACCACCACCACGTGCCACCACCACGTGCCACCACGCACCACCACCACGCACCACCACCACGCACCACCACGCACCACCACGCACCACCACGTATGACCACCACGTGCCACCACGTACCACCACGCATGACCACCACGTGCCCCCACGTACCACCACGTATGACCGCCACGCACCACCACGCACCACCACGCACCACCACCACGTACCACCACTCACCACCAGTAGTAGTAGTAGTAGTAGTAGTAGTAGTAGTAGTAGTAGTAGTAGTAGTAGTAGTAGTAGTAGTAGTAGTTAGTAGTAGTAGTAGTAGTAGTCGTAGTAGTAGTAGTAGTAGTAGTAGTAGTAGTAGTAGTAGTAGTAGTAGTGTAGTAGTAGTGGTAGTAGTAGTAGTAGTAATAGTAGTAGTCGTAGTAGTAGTAGTTGTAGT